ACGTGCGAGAAGAAATAATTTTTTTTAACCTATCCTCACTGTTAAAGTATCATTTAATCTACCCTTGTGGTTAAAGTACTATTTTATCTACTATTTTTTATAGATATAAGGCATGGTACAAAGAAAACAAGGTATGATCGATAGCGGCCCCAATTTCGTTAAGTTTGCGAGAGTTTGCGCATACCACCTGTGACGTCATACGCCATGCAAAAAAATATCCATATTGTGCAATTGCCACTAATAAAAAAAGACCTAAAATAGGGAAGAATTAGGACATAGCCCTAAAAGTTATGTCAAATCATAGTGCTTGACATTTGAAAAATTATTTTGACGTTTATTGTGTGTGACCAATGGTGCCGTTTATCACCTGTGACGTAGTGACCAAGCTGCGCAATATCATACCTTGTATTCTTTGTATCATGGATATAAGGCAATTTCAACAGTTGCTATGGAGAAATATATATGAATAAAAAAACGTTATTTTTAATTCAATTTTTAAAAATAATGCTTGATTTTAATTTTTCTTATAACTTTTTTGTAATTAAACGGTTTTATTTAGCTCGACCCGTACGGTATTTATTATTTATTTGTTTGGGTCAAAATTAGGAATTGAAATTTAAGTACCTTCCTGTTGACAGATTGATCTGAAATTTGGTACACACCTTTAGTTCCGATGACAATACAATATATTAATATCAATAACATTGTAAATCTAAGATGGCCGCCGGTAAGAAAATGGCGGATTTCATATTTTCCACAACCCCTCAATATGGGGTATCAAATGAAAGAGCTACACTAGTAGAATACTGTGATTATGACAAAATTTAAAATCCAAGATGGACGTCGTTACAAAATGGCGTATTAGGTGAGGGCATGAGTAGTCGTGTCCAGAACAGTTGTGTCCAAGATTGTGTGACGTTAGAAGGACAGATAAAAAAAAATAGGTGATTAGATGTACCTACGTAGTTAGCGGTAGCTTTACCACCCAAGTTAAGGTAATAGGTTAAAACGTGCTAAGGACCGTATGGCATTAGGGTGGCTAAAAATGTAGTGTCGCAAGCGTTTTCCCCTCAAGATTGGGCGCCTCTTGTTGTATATTATAGCCTTGCCCCTCTACTGGACCTCCGGGGGGTCGACCGTTAAAATGTCCATTACTCGTGGGAACTTCAAAACCCAAGTGATGAGTTTGCAACAGACAAAGCGTTAAGGGTATACCCCACTAATCAGCAAGTAAACAATCACAACGCTGCTGTTTCTTGGTGTATGTGCTGCTCAGGAGTTTCTTTGGTCCATTTTTGATTCTTTTGGAATGGCCATACATGTAGGCTCACCTACCAGAATATCCAATACCAGTTCTAGTACTATAGACTATATTGTATCATCTTTTGATCCTAACTCCATTGCCTGCAACGTCTTTAGCTCGGGTCTTTTGATCATGAAGCAGTTTTAACTGAATTTTCGATAAAGTCCAAAATCAAAAATGCCCCTCGTAAATTATGTCGTATTTTTTCAGAAAAGAATGCTCAAAAGTTCAGCCACTTATGTAAAACAACCAACTGGGATACTAGCTCTTATGATGTCGACACCGAATTTTCTATTTTCGTAAAAACATTAACCAGTCTAGCGTTCAAATCCTTTCCCTCTTAGGCCTATAAAAATAAGCATAATAAACCTTGGACCACTAAAGGTCTACGCATATCTTCTAAAACATGCGTTCATTATCTCACTTAAAAAATTCGCAGACAGTCTCTTCTTCCACAATTACGTAAAACTATACAGAAAAATTTATCATAAGACTATAAGAGCCGCTAAGGACCTTTATTATAATAGGAGAATAGTCAATTCTGGTAATGTTGCTAAGGAAACATGGTCTATTGTGAATGAGTTGAGAAACAAAGCTTTTCTTCGTCTAGCAATATCTCTACCTCGTCTGAGAACCTTAACGATTACTTTGTAAATGTAGCGAAAAACTTAACTAATACCATATGTCCTCCTCATGATCCACTTTCTTATCTCTCTAATGATAATGTAAACTTACACAGTTTCTTTTTTTCGCCCGTAGTTCTTGAAGAGCTTCGCAGTACAATTAATACCATCAAAAATAAATCCTCTTCTGGGACCGACGGGCTAATCTTTAAAAATGTTTTCGAATCTGCCAGAAAGCACTCTGAATCACCTAACAACTTTAATAAACATGTCGTTCCAAAATGGTATTTTTCCAAAATGTCTTAAGACGGCAATAATCATTCCTCTGCACAAAGGAGGAGACAAAGATGAAGCTTCTAACTATCGCCCAACTGCACTCCTTCCAACGCTATCTAAGATCATAGAAAGGTTGGTTAAAAGAAGGCTGGTATCTTTTCTGTTTAAGTACAAAATATTTACTGAATATCAATTTGGATTTCTAAGAAACAAGTCCACAAATGACGCTATGTTTTCCCTCCTTAATAAAGAGTTTACTCCAGCCTAAACAATACATCATTCTACAGCAACAATTTTCTGTGATTTTTCTAAGGCTTTCTGATTGTGTAAGTCATAAGATCCTAATTAATAAACTGCAGCACTATGGGTTCAGGGGATCATCTCTCAGAATGGTTTAAGTCGTATCTGAGCAACAGAAGTCAACTTGTGAGGGTGGATACCACGTTGTCTTCCTAGCAAGCCAATAGAATGTGGGAGTACCACAAGGCTCAGTACTAGGCCCTATTTTGAGCACTTTCTTCTTTTTTATTAACGACATTGCTAACATAAACATCAGTGGCAAAATATGTCTTTTTGCGGACGACACTAGCTTCACTTGGTGCAACAAGGACATCACGGCACTGCATAGGATTATATCAAATGACTTAATCACCATTAAATCTTGGTGCGATTCGAACCTCCTGAGTCTCAACATTTTTAAAACTAAAGCATTGTCGTATAAAAACTCGTTGCAGCCTTTTGTACTTAACAACACCACCATTGACGTCGTAAAATCTGTAAAATTTTTAGGGCTTGTTGTGGACAATTCTCTGAAATGGGACATATATATCGAAGCTTTGTCGAAAAAATTGGGCTCTGCCTGTTTTGCATTAAGGTCTGTTTTACAAGGGCTTAACTTGTCAGTGGCTAGAACTGTTTATTATGCACTTTTGAGTCGCACCTCAGGTATGCCCTTCCATTCTGGGGTACGTGTTGTGCGACTCAATTTGACTCCCATTTTCAAGCTCAGAAGAGAGCTGTTCGATATTCACTAGGACTAAACAGCAGAACTCATTGCCGGGACTTTTTTAAGGAATTAAGAATATTGACTCTTCCTTCCTTATTTATATTTGAATCCGTTTGCCTAATACGTAAACATGTATCAGCTTCTCAAGAACGGCCATCTCACACTTATCCACTAAGGAACGCGGAGCAAGATCTTTATCTACCTACCCCACGCTCAGAGTTAGTTAAAAGTTCCATATTATACAACTCGAAAAAAATGCACAATCACCTGCCATTTGGAATCAAATCCATAACATCATTTTTTTCATTTCGCAAAGCATTGAACTCTTATTTACTAGACAAGGCTTTCTACGCCGTAAATGAATTATATTTGAATTGAAAATCGAATTTGATTTTGAAAACACTGGTCTAATGTTTGCTATTGCTATATTTACTAATGACATCGAAATTAATTTATTTAGAGGTCATTGATATTTTGCTATAAACTGACTAAATATTTTTGAATATTATTTTAAATTTTTTGTTCTTTGACATTGTAAACATTTATAAATGTTTATTTTAACAATAAGACTGACAATATTATTTATATAATGTTTTGTATTATCTTTTGTTTGTTTGTTTGTGTACCTTGTTTTTTTTCTATTTTGTTTGTTAGTTTACCTTTGTCTACAAATTGAAAAATATTTGACAATAAAGGCATTTATTTATTTATTTATTTAAATCTGTTCCGGAATAAGGGATCTCGAATTTATACCATTAAAGCACAGGACCAACTAATTGACGCCACACGAAATACAGATAATTTAAATTTAGCAAATATAATACCAACAGATATAAATAAGACTGGAGGCTTACCATCAGTACTTGAAATATTTGTAGGAGCAAAAGTAATGTTGCGGTCCAACATTGACGTTACAAAAGGATTGGTAAATGGTGCTATAGGCCACATTACAGAAATTGTTTGGCCTCAGTTCCGTCGAAAACAAATGTACGAAACAGATGTACCATCAGTTTGGATTGACTTTGGCAGAGACGGCATACACGTTATACACCCGAAAGCCATACAGTTTCCAGCAAAATTCAATTATGGTACGGCTGAAAGAAGGATGTTACCCCTAATTTTGTTATGGGCATCCACCGTCCATAAAATGCAGGGCAGCACAGTCGACCATGCAGTAGTGTATTTGGCCTCAAATTGTTTGAGGAAGGGCAAGCATACGTGGCTCTAAGTCGAGTCAAGTCTCTGGAGGGGCTATGTATTGAGGAATTAGATTGTAATAAATTATCAGGTAAAAAACCATGTAATAATGATGCACTAAATGAATTAAATAGAATGAGGAATATTCGGTAGACATTTCCGTTAAATACTAAAAACTAGAAAATAAAAAATCGGTAAAAAAACTTTTAAGTTAAACGGTTTTATCTTATGTGCACTGAAAACTAAAATAATAATAACAATTAGGTATTTTGAACTTCTAGTTCAGAAATATTTTAGTACTAGGCAGAATAGCTTTTAGGCATATTAGACTAAAATAAAAACGTGGGGCCCCTCTGAAATCCTACCTATGGCAAAGCATATCTTTATACTTTATAGATCATGAGCTCGGCGTTCGCTGGTGAAGCCGCCACGGCTGGTTGTTGATTGTCAAAATCTCCAGTTACGATTATAGTAAGTCGATGCAATCCACACTTAGTATAGAAGAAAGTATTTTTTATTTTATCTTTTAACTAAAACACTTATACAATAACTATTAGTTATTTCTAAGCTAAAAATGTCTTTATTACCTTTTCAGATAGACGAAATACTGAACACTTTGAGTCTTTCCCACACCAAAGCCACCAGAGCCTCTGGCCTATCGGGTGGTCAAAAAAAGCGACTCTCCATAGCCTTAGAATTAGTAAATAATCCACTAGTCATGTTTTTGGATGAACCTACAACGTAAGTAGTAAAATTAATTAAGTTATTTATTTAAAATTATACAGGGTGTGTCTTAAATAAGTGCAAATATTTTTAGGGGTAGTATATAGTATATTTGCTTATAGGGTTTTTTTCGGGAAATTTGTTGATAATATGGCCACATAGGTAGTGGATTAAATTTACAAGAAAGAAAATCCAGAAAAGATCCAGTGGTTGTCAAAATTTTAGCAAAAAATTATTTTTTTTGCAAATTTTCAAAATAACTCCGTTATTTTGGATTTATCTGAAAAACAGTAAAGGGAAACTATGTTTCTTTTATCGATATCTACCAGCCCCGAAAATATTTGCACTTATTTAAGACTCATCCTGTATAATTTATTCGATTACAAATTTTAAAATGAAATATCACTGAGTTTCTTAATGATTTCTGTGTGTAAATATTGTGGAAATTTTCATACAGGAAGTGAAAAAAAAAACTATTCGCACAGTTCACTTCAGGATCATGGTCAGGCCTAAATGAATGATACGAGGCATGTTTTTTAAGTAAGTACCGTTTTGCGATTCCGCCGCCGCAGCGCTACGGTCGGCGTTCCGCGCATGCGCGCTGGTTACCTACATCTCTTGTCTATGCACAGACGCCAGTACAGTCTGATTCTTCATTGTATACGTTGTTTATTGAGTGTTTAAGATGCCTCCGACAATCGTGAGCCCCGCCGATTGTGAAGTACGGGTTGTCATACGATTTCTTAGTCCCAAAGGCGTAAAACCGATCGATATTCATCGTGAGATCTCTGAAGTTTACGGACAAAACATTATGAGTAATGGAATGGTAAGGAAATGGGTGAGAGCATTTAAAGATGGCCGCACAAATGTGCATGATGAAGAACGGAGTGGGCGTCCTTCGGTCGTTAATGAAGATTTGGTGCAGAAAGTGGACGAAAAGGTGAAAGAAAACAGACGCTTTACAATTTCATCATTGTGCGACTACTTTCCTCAATGTTCTCGTAGTGTTTTGTATCGCATTGTGACCGAGAACTTGAATTACCGGAAATTAATGTTCACGTTGGGTTCCGAAAATGTTGACGGATTTGCACAAAACCCAATGTTTAGGCAGTGCATTGACTTTCCTTGAGCAGTACCACAATGAAGGTGAAGATTTTTTAGGACAAAATTGTTACTGGTGACGAAACATGGGTGGCCTACGTCACACAAGAATCGAAACAACCAGTCCATGGAATGGCGACATTCATCACATCACCCAAAACAGTGAAGTTTAAGCAAACAATTTCTGCCCGGAAAATCATGTGCACAGTTTTTTGGGACAGAAAAGGAGTATTGCTAGTGAAGTTTCTGCCTCGTAATGAGACAATCAATGCAGCATCTTATTGTGAGACATTGAACAATCTGCGCCGTGCAATCCAAAAAACAAAAGACGTGGCAAGTTGAGTAAGGGTATTGTTTTGCTGCATGACAATGCCCGTCCACACGTGGCTGATCGGACCAAAGATCTCATCAAATCTTTTAAATGGGAAACTCTAGATCATCCTCCATACAGCCCTGATCTGGCGCCCAGTGACTACCATTTATTCCTGCACTTGAAGAAACACCTGGGCGGTCAGCGTCTTAAAGACGATAACGAGTCAGGCGGCAGAATTTTATGAGGAGGGTATTGAAAAACTGGTGCCACGTTATGACAAGTGCCTCAATATTCACGGAAATTATGTAGAAAAGTAGATTAAGGTACAGGCTTTCATGTAAAAATAAAATTATTGCGATATCTTTGCACGTTTTTTTTTTTAATTCCAAAACGGTACTTACTTAAAAAACATGCCTCGTATATTTTATAAAATATTCTGTTCAGTATTAATTAATAATACATAATATATCATATATGTAATATACAGGGTGTCTCATTATTTGGATTCTGTTTGTCACTTTATTTTTTTAGTATGCGTTTGTCGTTCAATACATACTAATAGTTAATAATAATTATTGACATAAATTGATAATAAACTGACAGCTAGTTAGTTGAAAAAACTTACATTTATTACTCATATTGATTTTTGATAAACAAGTTCGATAACCAAGTTCAATTTTTCACAGTTCTATTGTTTTAAAACTAAAATTGAAGAATTCTAAACAATAATAATTGTTTGTTTGATAAATTAAACTTGATTATATTATCGTACAGGACTAACAAAGTTACCTAATATTACAGAGTGATTATGTAAAAACTAATATCTATGTCTTTAGATTCGGTGTCTACAGGGTGAGTCTTAAGTAAGTGCAAATGTTTTCATGACTGGTAGATCTCCATAATCTATACTAATATATAAAATCCTTAAGTGACTGACATACTGATTAATCACGGTCCTGCTCAAACCCCTCAACGTAAGATCAATTTTGGCATACATGTTGATTCTAGGGTGTAGAGGTTCGGTAAGGAGGGATTTTTCGAAATTCCAGTTCCAAGAGGGTGAAACCACCCTTCAAATATTACAATATTTTTTATTTAAAAAACGGTCAAGTTTCCGAAAAAACGCTTAAACACGTATATTTTATTGTGTTTATTTACATATTTTACGATTTTTTAAAAATATATACAGGGTGTTTCGAAAAATCTGGTCATTGATTAATCATGATCCTGCTTAAAACGCTCGACGTAAAAAGCTGATTTTTGGAAAACAGATTGACTTTAGGGTGTAGAGGTTCGATAAAAAGGGATTTTTCGAAACTCGAATTCTAAGGGGGTGAACTTCCACAGAAACTGCTCTGTACCAATTAACGGAGCTAATACAGACAAGTCTGGATAGCAAAGAAACAACAATTTGTGCCTTCTTGGATATTGCGGGGGCGTTTGACAATATACCACATAAGGTGGTCAGGCGATCTCTAGAAACAAGAGGGGTGAACAGAACTATTATTCGCTGGTTTTGGGAAATGCTGTCAACACGAACAGCAGAGGCTCAGATGGGCACCAAAACTGTAGCTGTTAAAACAACGCAAGGAACTCCACAAGGTGGAGTAACCCCCCTTTGCTGTGGAGCTTGGTGGTGGATGAACTACTAGATGAATTAACTCTAGCGGGAATACACTGCATTGGGTATGCAGATGACATAGTCATGATCGCTCGGGGAAACATGAAGGCACCTTGTGTGATATTATCCAAAAGAGGACTCCGTATCACTGAGAGATGGTGTAGGACTGTCGGGCTGAGTATCAACTCAGACAAAACCGCGATAGTGCCATTCACCAGAAGGCGAAGTCTGAAAACTTGAAAAGAATCCAACTAGATGGAAAGGAAATACTGCCAACCCAGGAAGTTAAATACCTGGGAATAACCCTGGACAGTAAACTCCTCTGGAACAGGCATAATTAAGAACACTACCAGCAAAGCCATAAAGGCTCTCATGATATGCAGAAGACTGGCCGGAAATAGATGGGGCTGCTCCCCCAACATTTTGCGCTGGATGTATACCATGATAGTAAGACCCATGATTACTTATGGAGCAGTTGCCTGGTACACAAAACTAGAGCAACGGACGGCAAGGCTAAACCTATGCAAAGTCCAGAGACTAGCATGTGTTTGCATCACAGGAGCCATGAGAACCTGTCCAACAGCAGCAATGGAGGTCATTCCTAGATCTAACACCACTGCACATTGTCATTGGTAGATATGCCAATGCGACAATGATTAGAATGGTCACTAACGGAATTAGTACTGGGAGAATTGTCAGATCAGGGCTTGGAACACCCTCAAAAGGAAATACCACTTCTGCAACTCCCAGTGGACGATATGCCAAGAACGTACAACTTTGACGAACATGTCAATGTAGTATTGAGCAATAAGAAGGATTGGAAGAGCGAAACGCTTGCTCAGCAGTTAAAAAGACCATACCATAACTTGGTATACTGATGCTTCTCCAAAACCAATACGGGAACAGGGATCCGGGTGTTTGGGCCGAGAGCTAATTACTCGAACCAATGGGCACTTACCCTAGTATCCTACAGGCAGAAATCTACGCTATCGAGAGATGCGTACAACTTATCTTAGATAGGAACTATCGGAAACAAAAAAGAAATAGCCACCATCTTATCTGATAGTCAAGCAGCATTAAAGGCGATCAACTCAGTATCAATCAATTCGAAATTGGTCAAAAGAAGCATAGAGAAGCTGAATAAATTAGGCAAAGAAAACAAAGTCCTCCTACACTGGGTGCCTGCTCACCAAGGGATAGAAGGCAATGAAAAAGCAAATAATCTAGCTAGGAAAGGAGCGAACACTCCACTAACTGGACCAGAACCGTTCTGCTTCCCAAGTGGTAACCAACTCAAGGCGGAACTCAAGAACTTGGAAGATTCCATCCGCAACCTGGAATGGAAATCTTGCAATGGTCTAGGACACTCGAAGAAGTTTCTGAGGAGCTTATGATCAAGAAAAATCACATCTTCCTGGGTCTGAGTAAGAACAATCTTCGGATTGTCACGGGGTTTTAACAGGACACTGTCTCCTCAATGAACACCTCAGTAGATTGAAACTAAGAAGAAACGGCGAATGCAGATTCTGTGGGAAGATAGTGAAACAATCAGTACACCTCATCACTGAGTGTGCCGAGACGACAACCATTCGTGCCATGAATTTTGGTACGACTGATATTGGAGATGGAGAACTACCCTCTATAAAACCGTCCCAGATACTGGCTTTTGTCAAAGCCCTGGGACTGTATGATGAGTTATGATTCAAGAAAGGGGGACACAATGGATCTGTAAGGTCGAAGTGATTAACCCCCCTCCCACTCATTCTAAATTCTAAAAAATTCTAAAAAAGGGGGTGAAACTATCCCTCAAATATTAGAATACTTTTTATTTAAAATCCGGTGAGTTTTTTGGAAAAACTCTTAAACACGTATATTATATTTTGTTGTTTTACATATTTTAAGATTTTTTATAAATTTATACAGGGTGTTTCATAAAATATGACCATTGGGTAATCACGATTCTGCTTAAATTGCTTGACGTTTAAAGCTGATTAACTGTGGGGTGTAGAGGTTCGATAAGGAAGGGTTTCTCGAATCTCAAATTCCAAGAGGGTGAAAACGCCCCTCGAATATTACAATATTTGTTATTTAAAAAACGGTTAGTCTTTCGGGAAAACCCTTGGACACGTATAATTTATTTTGTTTTTTACATATTTTGAATTTTTTTAAAAAATCATACAGGGTGTTCCAAAAAGTTGGGTAATTGATAAACCACGATTCTGCTCCAGTTTGTATGTTAATGGAAATTCTTGCTTTGCTTTATCATATCACCATTACAAATGATTAATTCGACGCGAACGAAGTCGCGAATATATGTTAGTAATATTATATTGTAATCCTCAGAAACCAAGAAATGTTATTTTTTTCAAAATATAATTAAATAAAAGGTTATTAAAATAAAATGCTGTGTCTAAAAACAGGTAGAAATAAAAATGTTTATTCAAAAGGTCATTTCCAATTATAGATAATTTTGTTATATCGCCACTGTCTAATTGATATTATATTAAAATAACTGGAACTATTACAATCATTAGAGGCCATTAAGCTTGCAAGTATATTAAAGAACTATTTATTGGTAAACTATATGCGCTATTATAGGAATTTCAGACCATAAAAATTGACCTCATTTTAATTACAACATATTTTTACGAAAAAAACGGCGTCGAAAACGACTGGGGTATGACAATCGACGATAATTTTAGCGGAGTCAATCTCTAGGCGTCATTTCCTAAAAATTTAGATAAATCCTGTCGAAAATTAATACTATTTATAGAAAAATTAAAAAAGGATAGAACCTTTCCAGTCACACACAGAAAATTATTTTTTATGGAATTTTATACTACACCATTTAAATTTTTTTTTTTTTCAAACGTCACAGAAGTATCAATTTTTGCGACGTGATTGACAATATAAAAAAATAATTTTAACGCCTAGGCATAAACGTAAAGCACTTTACGCCTAAGCATAAAAGTACGAAAATATTGGTAATGGCGTCGATCGATGACGGTCAATGGCGTCGTTTTCTTTTTGATACGCTGCTTCTGACATCTGCCGCCGAATAGATATACTAATGGGAACTAGTTGGGATAACGGTTGTAGATGGCGCTAAAGTCGCTCTTTCTATCAGCATATTTAAGATTCCCGCCCCTGGAAAATATATTATTAAACTGACATAAAGTGTCAAATTCAACGAGCGTCACCATAGTTTCTCGATATACCGGGTGTCGCATCGTCGAGCGGGACATAGGAAATCCCATGTAAATTTTAATGGGGTCAATTATCGGCTTCTATAATTATTTTAGAGAATAATTCTATTTAGGTTTATTGAAGACCACTAAAACCCACATTCAAAAGAATAACTTTAGATATTTTTGATTAGCCCGTTTACGAGTTATCGCCGATTTCTTTTTAAATATTTCTCCTTTCTTATGGCCCTGTATTTACTTATGAGCACGAGTCAAGGTAAAAGATAACTGTCAAATGAAGTTGTCATTTCAGAAATTTATCTATTTAGTGCTTTATTATTATTATTAAAAACTCATACCTACATCGAAAATATTAGCCATGAATTACACTACCGAAGAAAAAGTATTGATGATTAAATGGTATTATCAAGGAAATAGTTATCAAAAGGTGTCGGACATGTTTGCTGCTCTGTATCCGAATAGACCGATACCTGGAAAATCTACAATCGCAAGGAATATCCAGAGACTTGAGACCAAAGGTACCCTAATAAATAACTGCAGATGTGAAGCAAGGCAGGAACAAAGAGAAGATGCAAGAAATGATACCGACTTGGAAGTTTTATTGTGCGTGGAAGAGAACGATGGAAAGAACAGCACAAGGAAACTTGAGGATGAAATAGGAATAGATCACACTACAGCGTTTCGAATTTTGAAACGACATAAATACTATTCCTTCAAATATGAAAAGCACCAGAGCTACGAGATGGGGACGAAATACGGCGGCAGGCGTTTTGTTTTGATATGATGGAAAGAGCAAACACGGATAGGGAATTTTTAATAAACATATGTTTCACTGACGAATGCACGTTTACCTTAAATAATGAACCCAATGTTCAAAATTATCGATATTGGAACAAAGAAAACCAACACAGGTTTGTCGAAACAAGGACGCAATATCCACAGAAAGTAAATGTTTGGGCAGGGATATTCGGACAAAATATTATCGGGCCATTATTTCTTACGCGAAATTTAAATGCAGAATATTATTTGGAACTACTCGAAAATAATATTTTACCTGCTTTACATGATGCCGCTAGGGAAAATCAGGAAGTTTGGTACCAAATGGATGGCTGCCCGGCACAAGGTACCCTGGCTGCTCGGGAATATTTAGACAATAGTTTTAACGAAAACGTTATTAGCCTAAATCATACAGTAAATTGGCCAGCAAGGTCTCCTGATATTTCGCCAAATGATTTATTTCTCTGGGGCCATTTAAAAAACAGTTTATACAAGGATAAAAAATACCCAAATCTAGACGAGTTAAAATATGCTATTTCTGCCGAATGCAATAGAATTTCAGTTTACCAACTAGCGAATGTAAGAAGAGAATTTTATAATCGTCTGGGTTATTGTCTAGCAGTCGATGGAGGAATATTTGAACATCTTAAATCCTAAAGTTCTAACAATTTAATAGTACCGAAATTAATAAGTTATTGAATATTGTAATAATACTATAATTAACCTAGTAATTGATTACTTTATTTTACTTTAATTCATATTAATTTGTATTTATAAATACATCTTTAAGATTTCCGATGTAGGAATGAGTTTTCAATAACAATAAAGCACTAAATAGGTAAATTTCTGAAATGACAACTTCATTTGACAGTTATCTTTTACCTTGACTGATGCTCATAAGTAAATACAGGGCCATAGGAAAGGAGAAATATTTAAAAAGAAATCGGCGATAACTCGTAAACGAGCTAATCAAAAATATCTAAAGTTATTCTTTTGAATGTGGGGTTTAGTGCTCTTCAATACACCTAAATAGAATTATTCTTTAAAATAATTAGGGAAGCCAATAATTGCCCCATTAAAATTTACATGGGATTTCCTATGTCCCGTCCGACGATGCAACACCCGGTATACATACATACAATGTATGACTTTAAATCTTTTTATATTATTTGGAACGTTTGAAATTGCTTAAAAAAATATTTGTGGCGTATGACAAAAATAGCATGTTCTGTTTGGAGTAATACAATATACTAATTACTCAATATAAAAATAAATCACAACCATCTTACGGCCAATAGGCAGCAAGGGCCATTAAAAATAAAGAAGCCAAACTTATCGTCGATTGTGATTCCTCAGCCGTCTATGACACCGTTTTTTTTCCGATTGTATTGCATTATTTCTTTGTTTTATTACATTATGCCTATTATATTTCCAGGGGATTGGACAGTTCTTCTTGTAAACAATGTCTAGAACTACTGAAAGTACTTGCAAGACAAGGAAGAACCATAGTATGCACGATCCATCAACCCTCAGCAAAACTGTTCGAAATTTTCGATCAGGTCTACGTTTTGGCTAAGGGAAGGTGCCTTTACCAGGGTGGTACAGAAAGAATGGTGTCCTTTTTCAGGGATGTTGGTTTCCCATGTCCCGAATTTCACAACCCAGCAGATTATGGTAAGTTTTTTATTTATTGAATTTTGTGAAACTTGACATTGTCGTCAATTTTTCCTTAAAATTTGATAGAAAAATAACAAAAAATCATTGATATTCTTTAAAAACCCCATACCAGTTGCTGTATAAAGAGACTATTTTACAAGTAGACCATGAAAACCAGATTTGTGCATCAAATTCAAATTCAAAATTCAAATTCAAATTTTTTATTGGACCCCATTACGTTTTACAGATTAATAATTTAATAATTTTACTATTCTTAATAAATGTGTGTCTAAAGGGATCGCACCGCGATTAAAAAACCGATACAAAGACACAAAGTGCCAAAGTGTTGCGATTCCAAAGACAAAATAGAAATAAATTACATTACAAAAATAAACAGAAATCAGATAAATAAACAAAAAAAGATAAAATATAATTTTATCAGGGATGAACGGAGATAAGCAGAGAGGCATAACGAAACAGTGTAAAATCCGGAACAGCAACCAATAACGGACATATCAGAAGAACAAGAACCTCACAAATCAGTCAAATATATTATAATTTTCACGAATTTAGTAAATGATTTTTAATTTGTTTTTTTTATAATCTGTAAAGGATTGAAATTTAAAGTTATTAGAAATATTATTCCACAAATGTGGCGCTATGAAACTGAAAGATTTTTGGAAGTTAGCTGTTCGGTGTTGAGGAATTTTAAAATAATGCACTTGCCTAGTCGAATGAGCATGGTCAACGTAGTGAAATAATGAGAACAAATAGGGAGGCTGTTCTGTAGTTAAAATTCGATAAATGAATGTCATTAAATGAAATTGTCGTCTGTTAGTCATGGATAAAACAGATAAATTTTTAAGATGTGGCGTTATATGATTTCTAAAAGGAATGTTAAAAGAAATTTGGATTTTTCTAGAGAATTTGGATTTTTCTAGAGAATCTAGCGTTTATGGATGTACCATAAACAAAATCGCCGTAATCAAATATAAAGATACTTCTTTGATGGTATATATTTCTTCAGAGATGAAAAATTCTTCAAACGTATATAAGCAGCCTTTAATTTAGTAGTTATATGTGCCTGAAAAGAAAGCTTCGCATCAAAATAGACTCCAAGATTTTTAGCCTCTGTAACAATGGGTATCGCAACATTATCTATATGGATATTCATGTTACCAGCCGTATTTGTAATTTTGTTTATATCACTACCAAATACTATAACACAAGATTTACCGGCATTTAATTTCAAATTATGATCCAGAGCATATTTATTAATTTTATTCAGATCGTGGTTAAAATTTAACTGAAATTGTTCCAAATTATTAATATCTATTTTGCAATAAATTTGAGAATCATCTGCATATTGCTGCAATTTCGAAAACTGTACTTCCTTATTCATATCAGCCACATACAACGAAAATAAAAGTGGCCCCAAAATAGATCCCTGAGGAACCCCAGAAATCATAGGAGTATAACTAGATTTTTGTTTTAAACTTCCTCGTTTCATGACAACACAATGTGATCTATCTTTTAAAAGGTTTTTTAACAATTCTAAGGAGCCGTCTCCAAAATCCAAAAAAAAAATCCAAAATACTGTAGTATCATCTAAACTTATTTAAACAACTCTAAAAATGTAAAAATACTTTCCAAATAAAGTGTACAACTAGATATACCACCCTGTATGTCTTCAGCATGCTAAAATTATGTATTTTTTTATATTTACAGTTATAGAATTAGCTTCCGAGGAATATGGTCCAGAAAAAATAGACACCATGGTGACTAAAAGCGAAAATGGTAAAAGCCTGACATATTTTCAATATCCAGAGAAACTACTGAAGACAGGAAGTACTGGTGAGTTTTCAATAAACGAAATAATTTCAGAAAATAGAGAAACAGCGAAATAAAACACTAATTAATCACAATAAATCAAAACACTTTACTTTTAACACTGGACGAGCGTTTTGCGAACATTATTAGTGTCATCAGCAGCATGATTGAAACTGTTTATGTCAATTAAAGAGTTTTAAACATCTGCCGATGATGCTAACATGGTTAGCGAAACGCGTGTTTAGTGGTTAAAGTAAAATTGTAAAATATATACACACCGGAAAAGTCTAGGGATATTACAATTTTATCCAGCCATCGTCAGTAATTTTATTATTTGCATTTCTGATATAATAAAATTAAAATAAACAAATAGTTTACAGGACGTATTGGACATAAAAATGCGAAATTTACCGAATTTTTCAAATTTACCTTGATTTTTATTGAACTCAAAAAAATACACACATTTTTTTTATTCTAAACTGTGAATTAAAAAAAAAGATAAAACCATTTTTACTTAATAAAGGGTATGGCCTCCTCTACTCTTCATTACAGCCCCACGTCGTCTCTCCATGCTCCTGATCAGGTTGTCGATCTCTTCTTGAGGTACAGCCTGCTACGCTGCATTCACGGCCTGAACCAGATCCCTACGAGTTTCACGAGGCATACCCATTCTCAAAATTCTTCTTTGGACCGCGCCCCATACGTGCTCGATGGGGTTGAGGTCAGGAGATTGTGCCGGGCAGGGTAAGATGTTTAATTGATGAGCATTGATAAACTCACTTACCACTCTGGCTGTATGAGGCCGTGCATTGTCATGCATGAGAATGAAGTTTCTCCCAAAATCATTGGCATATGGTAACATGACAGGCTCAAGAATTAAATCACGATATGTGATTCCTGTTAGAAACCTTCCAAGAAAAACGAGATCGGTTTCTCGGCCTAACTGGACTCCTCCCCAGACCATAACTGTTCCACCTTGATAAGGGTGCACTTCCTGAACATGATCCAACCGAATAAGATTTCCTGGTTCTCTCCATACCCTAAGCCTTCTCGAATCCGGATGAATTCCAAAGCGTGACTCATCCGTGAAGAGAACATTGGCCCATTGTTCATTCGACCACTGAACATGATCTTGAGCCCACAAACATCGTACCTCTCGATTTCCTCTCGTTAAGGGTTGAGCTCTCCAGGGGCGTCTGCTTCTTAAGTTGACCTCTCTTAATCTATTGCGAACAGTGTCAGGACTAACGGTTACATTATGTGTTTCCTGGAGAATTAAACTAAGCTCTGGTGCTGTAACAGTCGGTCGGCGTCGAGCATTTAATTGTAAAAAATGATCTTGCTGAGGGGTAGTAATGCGATGTCGCCCTGCGTGCCTTTCAGCAACATCACCACTTTCACGGTAGCGTGTACTTAATCGCGATATTACACTTTGCGTTGTATTTAATGCTCTAGCTACGTCGATTCGGCGCATTCCAGCTTCGATCATACCCATGGCCCTTAGCATTTCGTCTCTGTTAAGATGTCTACGCTCCATAATGTCGTTTAATACTAAACAGAGTTATCTGAATGAATTCTGGCCAGTTATCATAAAAACATAGCCAGTACAGGTTAAATTCGAACAATTGATGCTAGGTGCTTTTTATACATTTGACAAAAAATGCACAAACACTTCTGCAAATATCCCAAATTTAGAAATAACTAGTGTGACTACTTCGTTTCAATCGAAGTAGAAAGAATCGGCCTACAAATATGTGGTTGTTTATTCAAAACATTTATTTTTAACTTTAATAAAATGATATCCCTAGATTTTTCCGGTGTGTGTATATTGGTGAATTAGTGTTTTTTATTTTTCATGCTGTAATAATAAACTGTAATAATATGGAAATAAATGAAATTAACCTTTTTCAGGCAGTGCGATATTTGAAGACGATTCAGGTGAACTACAAGCCACTTCAAAGTTGAATCAACTCCGAGTTTTGATGAGAAGAGGTTACATAAAACTGAAAAGGGATCAGGTAGGTTAAAAATATAGTATTTCAACAATTCTTTTTTAAATTAGGTCTTGATTTGTTAAGCATAGTCTGCAATTTTGGGTTTCGGAGACGTTGTTTTTTATTGTGTTGATATAATGTTCTCTAAGTCTAACAGAGAGTGGTCATTTAGAGATAAAATAAGAAACATTTTGAAGATTTAATTTTGATACAAATATTTTAGTGTTTGAGATGAGGTTAAGAGAAATGATTTATTTATTTATCGTATGGCTGCACATGACATAAAATGCATAAAAGTTATAAAAACTATTCCAATTCACAAACAAACATTTAAATTGTATATATAGTCAATTGAGGCGTCAGTTGCCATCAGGAAATCGTCAAAGTTTCCCTCATATGCTGTATTTGGGCATTCCATCACCATATGTAGAATGGTTTGTTTTTCCGCTCCGCAGTCACACATCGCAGATTGCGCCCTACTCCATTTGTGTAATGAGTCCGCGCATGTGCCATGGTTGGTGCCTATTCTGTTCAGTGATGTCCATATTTTACGGGACTGTTCGAAGGCAGGAGGTTTCATTCTTATGCACGGAAGATTTCTGCCTTGCGGAGGACGGTTGTCTGTCCATTTTCGTTCCCAAGAGTCTATGGGGTCAAACTGTGACGTGTGCAGTTCTTATAGGTGGTCTTCTGGATCGTAATCTGTTTCTGCATGCTTTATCCGTATCCTAGTGTATGGGAAGTTGAGGGTTGCCTTGTATACGTTTATATTCCCGGAGAAGCGCTGCCTTGCGCCGGAAATCTGGAGGAGGTATATGGCTCAATATTGGGAGCCAATCGGTAGGAGTCGATTTTAGCGTTCCGCTGATTATCCTCATGGTCTCATTTAGTTGTGTGTCTACCTTTTGGGTATGCGCACTGTTGAGCCAGATCGGTGCGCCGTATTCTGCAGTTGAGTAAGCTAGCCCAAGTGCTGAGGTTCTTAGTGTATCAGCGGTAGAGCCCCATGAGGTACCGCATAGTTTATGAAGGATGTTGTTCCGGGTTCGCAGCTTCGCAGCCGTGTTCTCCAGGTGCCTCTTATAGGTCAGTGTCCTATCTAGGGTGACACCACCCAAGCAGCATTTGGACGTCGGGACAACGTTGTGTCACGCGACCAAACGTCGGGGCGCAACGTCGGCACAACCTCGTGCCAACCCTAGTCTGCACTAGTATGGAGAAAAATTTTTGGGTCGAAACGACGTTGGATACCGACGTTGGCTAGAAGCCTAATTTAGTACAAACTGCAACGTTGTTTAAAATCCTAATTCACAGAAATACAAAACTAATATGGCGTCTAAGTCGCGTTTTGTCCTAAATTGGGATAATTATAGTAAAAATATTATTTTTATGATTTAGTTAGAGACATATGTCAGATGGCAGTGAAGGAAAACAAAACAAAAGTATTTAAGTGTGGAGGATGTTTGAAGATCATAATTATCGAAACACTTTAACCGACTCTGTAACTCGTTACCCAAGGCAAAAAGTTAAACGCAAACAACTTTATTGATAAATGTATTGTTTCTACTTTGAAAAATACTAATGGGCCTTAAAATTAAAGAAGTTTTAAAAATTTTCTTGAATTTTTTTTTAGTAAAATGAGAATAATTTATTCGCAGTCGAAAAAATTGTTTCCGCGTGTTTTTTAGGGTCAAATATTTCAAGTTAATGTATTCAAAAAGCAGGAATTGCTATTTTAGAAACGAAACATTTTCTTATTTAACAACATGGCGGCTTTCACTTTGTTGTTTTGGAGATTAAGATGGAGTAGTTCGAGTAGTCGCATACTGGACTAATAAAGTCGCAGTTCGGCCTTAACAGGTAGTATACTAGTCGCAAGATTGCCTAATTTAGTCATCCTAGAGTCTAGCTTGTGCCGCCCTCTATAATCTAAATAAACGAGGGAGTGGATAATCTATCGGTAATATATGTCGATGTATATTTAAATTTAGTTTTATATGTACCTTTCTTATGTCCCATTTTAATTAAGTTTTTTTTTATAAAACCAAAAACAGCACTGAACTCTCTGACTGAACAGAACAATGAAGTGAAAATTTAAGATTTAAGGTTATGGTTCAATACAGTTGCAAAAAGGTAGTGACTCGACGTCCTACCAACGTAAGAATAAGGAAATCTAAACAACGTTGGAATTAGTAAAACAGACGACGTTTGCATAGCGTTGGAATAGGTCCTGAAACTGACGTCGGAAAACTCTATATTGTCCAACGTTGTAACTACGTTGTCCGAATCACCTAAAGATCACTTAAGCAAAAAAGGTTACAAGACAACGTTTATTCGACGTCGCAGAAGCTTCTACTTTGCTGTAGTACTAGTCCAACGTAGGCACAACGTTATAAAAACGTTTAAATTTATTTTAATACCCAAGGTAGGGAGCTAACTATTTTTTGTAACTAATCCAACGTTGTGTTTAGTAAACATGTGGTCGCAAGTCGTGAAAATGCTACTTGGGCAAGATATTTCGGGTGTGTATTGTGGCGCAGTAATGTATCCTCGAAGTAAACCTGGAGCTGTCTATTCGCTGCCTTGATAGAGAGATGGAAGCACGCCGTCTCCGTTTTATTGGGGCTCGGTCTCAGTCTCCATTTACGGAAATATGTTCCCAGGCTCGCCAAGTCTGAGGAGAGGGTTGCCTCCGTCTCCCCAAAGGAGCGATGTTGCATGGTTAGTACCCAGTCATCCGCGTAGCCGAACTTCCGAGATCTGGTTTCGGGCATATCGGAGATGTAAAGGTTGAAGAACAGCGGGGCCGGGACAGATCCTTGCGGGAGACCGTCATTAAGCGTCCTTGGAGAGCTCATTTTGCTGCCCAAAATAACCCGAAAAACCCTGCCAGTAAGCATGTTATCAATGAGTTGCAGGGTTTGTTTGCATGGAATTGTTTGGTAAAGCTTATAGAGTAGTCCATGTCTCCACACAGTGTAGTACGCTGCAGAGAGGTCCACGAATACTGCTGATGTTTTCAGATTATCCTAGAAGCCTGCTTCAATATGGGTTGTGAGTGACATGATCTGATCTGTGCAGCTTCTCCCTGGTCTAAAACCGGCTTGTTCAATGGGGACCCTTTCCATTATTTTGCTCCCGATTCTATTATGGAGGAGTCTCTCAAGAAGCTTATAGACTGCGCTTAGCAGTGCTATTGGGCGATAACTTTTAGGGTCATCATTTGGCTTACCTGGTTTGAGGATGGCGATAACTCTGGACTTTTTCATTAAGCTCGGAATGGTTCCCTTTTCCATGATGTTCGTAAAGAAATGGGCTAGCCATTTTATTGTATATTTACCGCTGTTCAGGAGGAATTCTGGATGGATTCCATCAGGCCCTGGTGCCTTTCCCGCATTCGTGTCCCTCAGAGCTTCTGTCACTTCGTCCGCGGTGAAAGGGCGTGAAGACTCGGTTTGTTCTTGGCTGTTTAGAGAAATGATGAGTAGATTGCTTTGTGATGAAAAATATCTTTTGAAATTGATGCAAATATTTTTTTTTGTTTTAGACAATGACTTACATGAGGATTGGAGTAAATATAATAACAGCCCTGATGTTAGGAACGTTATACCTAAACGCTGGCACAGATGGTTCTAAAGTACTTGACAACTACAATTTATTATTTTCCATACTTATGCACCATACCTTCACACCAATGATGTTGACGATCTTAACTTGTAAGCATTAATTAAAGTAGTTAAAATTATAATTAAAATTAAAACCTTTGAATAAGAAGACTAAGGAAGGAGCATATCAAAAATCTTAGGTACACCGCGATGGGCCTCAAATATGGCCGACTTAAATTCCGGTTTATCAGTGTCGTTCTAATTTTATTTAAAAAATGTAAAACTATGATGTAGGGTAGACGTGGGGTAGACTCAATAATTTGTTGTTTTATTTTAAGTTGTGAATAAATGTTGGTAGTTATTAAAATTGTTATAAAAATATATAATTCTAATAAAAATAGATAAGTTATAATAAGTATTTATTTAACACAAACATCCGATACGCTACTGAAGCAGGTAAGTCAAATTAACGTATCTAAATTCTTTGACATCTAATCTTTCACAAGTAATAAATAAAAGCTAAAATGCAAGAAAAATATATAATTTAGTTAATTTAAGTGAATTTCGTAAATGATCGGTTTGCTACACGTATGTATATTATATAGTCACTTACTAGCGAAAAGTTGTTCTATTATTTCACTCAATTTTTGCCGAGATCTACCGCACGCTACACAACCAACTATTTTAGAGTCTTTTTCGATAAATCGCGATAGTGTCACTGTTAATTTAAGTTCTGCCACAATTTCCATCTAGATTTACTATCTTTATACAACTATCAGTAGTAGAATAAATAATAAATAACATAAAATAAGCTCCGTAAAGACTGACAAATCCACAAAATTTCAAATCAAATTCAAATGTGTCAAATGAATCGTCAAACAGAACTGTCAAGGATCCCCACCCTAGAGAGCTTTTATGGTGGCTTTTCCGCCCACCATGCATGAATACATGGATAGCATTATGCTCCTTCCTTAGTCTTCTTATTCAAAGATTAAAACAAACAGAAAATAAAGTATTTTTTTGCATTCCAGTCCCTACCGAACTAAGCATTCTGATCAAGGAACATTTTAACCGATGGTACTCGTTGAAAATGTACTACGTTTCTGTCACGCTGATTGATCTACCATTATCAGTAAGAACTTTTTTAGTATATCAAAATAAATGATAAAAAATTTAAATCTATATAAATCCTCTAATGTTCTGTGTATTCTTACCTTAGGTAATGTTGATATTTTTCTTTCTTTGTAGATATTCTGCTGTTTTATTTTCACAACCATTGTGTACTATATGACAGCACAGCCGCTTGAAATCGTCAGGTTTTCGATGTTCTTTGTTAGCAGCGCTTTGGTAGTTTTTGTAGCTGAAAGTTTTGGACTTGTAGTGGGTGCCTACTTCAGTGTAGTGGTAAGTAATTAATCCAAAGTAAAAATCCAAATAAAGTAATAATTCCAAAGACAGTTGGAATGGTTTGAGACATGGGCGCCGGAAGAATGAAATTTAGGGGGGGGGGCAAGGTAAAAATGAATAAAAAATTGACATTTTTGGTAATTATTGGGAAAACTGGAAATCGTCCGATTTTCACCAAAATTGGTATACACCCTATTTTGAAGTCGTAGATTACGAATCTTTTTTCTTGGCGGTCTCTTACCGTTTTTCAGTTTTTCTCATATTTTTTTTCACAATTTTTCTTAATTTCTCATATTTTTAAGGTTTTCTAGCACATATTTTGTTAGGTTTTCAATAATCAATAATGTTTTTGCTATTTTCTGTTACTTTTTTAACCAATTCTATGCATAATAGAGGAAAATTTGCTAAAATAAATTTGTAAACAATCTGAAAATGTTAGGTTATAGCTTTGTTCGGGTTCTTGTTATTACTGATTCTGAACCGTCCAAGAACTCTGCAGCACATGCGCAAATGAAATAATGTCTTCGTATTTCCTTCTGCGCGTACGCATCACAGTTCTAGGACGGTTCAGAATCGGTAATAAGAGAAACCCGAAGTAAGTTTATGTGTTTCTGGCATTTAAAGCAACGTTGTCAATGCTAAACCTAAATTTAGCGTGTTTTTTTCGCTCATTCTGGAATTACGAAAGGCGGTCGCCAGAAGAACGGCTCCTTCCCATAACTGCTATTTTACCAACGAGATCTGACTATTTATACCCACGAAGTTGCACGAAAGAGTTTTGATTGCATTGGTTACAACTTCCATGCAGAGGGTGTTGATCTTTTGTTGTTATATCATTAGATTAACTAAAAAAAGATTAACCCCCTCCGCAAAGAAGTTAAAACCAATGCAATCAAAACTCTTCCGCGTAATTTTGTGGATATAAGTGTATATTTAATTATTGTTGATCTCATAATAGGTAATTTGTTTAAAATCCCTAATCACCCGAAAAAATAGAAGATATGGCAACGTTGTAAATTTTCAAATTTCTAGATTTGGTCTAGAATATATTTGTCTCTGTTATTACATAGGAGAGAGAAAGAAGGATATATCAAATGTCAAACTTCCATCTGGTCTCAATTTTCTTTGCTATTTTGTTAAGAAAAGTGTTTTTCAGTAAAATGTTGGACACTTTTCTATCCCCAATCAAGTGTGGCTTTTAGATAAACTATAATATAATGAAAATATAGTGAAATTATTACTTTATAGGGCCGAAATAAAGAAAAATTCAATGTTGAAATAATTTTCCGTTTTTCTGAAAAACGATAAGAGACCGCCAAGAAAACAATAGATTCGTAATCTACGACCTCAAAATAGTGTGTATACCAATTTTGGTGAAAATCGGACGATTTCCAGTTTTTCCAATAATTACCTGTTCCTTATTTACCTGTCAAATAATAAAAAATGTGGTAATTATTGGAAAAACTGGAAAAAAAAACACCTAACAATTTCATAATAATGATTATTTTTTTTACAGATGGATGTAAGAAGATAGCTTTTATTTTTATTGTTTCAATGATCCAGGGGAGGGCAAATGCCCCCTCTTGCCCCCCCTGTCCGGCGCCCATGGTTTGAGACTTTCAATTTCTTTGTGCAGACCATGCCTACAAAGGCGGTGCCAAAGTTAAGAGCTTCAAACTATTCCAACTGACTTTGGAAGTACTATAACCGAAAAGACTCACGTAATGATGAAAGTCAAATTGTCAACTAATAATACTGCACAATTTTCCTATTTATATTCTTGTTATTTTAACCGTATGCATAGTTGACACATCTTTTCAATATTATATTCACTAAAACAACATAAAAAATACCTTCAGGTGTGTTTTAGACGAACGAACATATATTTACATACAATAAATAACATTTTGTGAAGGTAGTAATATACACAATTTTTTTTCTTGCAGTACAATAGACTATGAGATTTTATCGAAATAGGCTATACATACCAAAAATTATACTTAACCCTTTATAAGTTGCTGGTCGCTAAATCGACCACTTTAATTTAACCAAGTAATCAGTCGCGTGGAAGTGTATTATCGCCCTGTTTGTTTGTTATGCTTATTTCTATACGCGCTTTGGCCATTTATCACCCATATCTATACGCTGGCCGAATTGGCGCGAAAAGTTAACGAAAGCGGTTGAATATTCGACCAGACAGCATTAGGTCTGTTCCCAGAAGAATCGCTGACTAGTCAGCACGTTTCTCATTGGTTAAAATGCGTAGAAACCTGATTGTTAGTCTGGTTTCTACACATTTCAACCAATAAGAATCGCGCTGACTAGTCAGGGATTCTTCTGAGAACAGGGCCATTGGTGACAGTGAGTTCGCTGCGTATAATATTGGTAATAATTGTCGTCTAAGCATTTTCTATGCAAATTTCGTGTGACTAAAATTTAAAAATATAGAAACAAATGTGTCTGTGACTCTCAAGCTAAAAGAGAGTAAATAAGCTTTTTACGTCAAGCAGTTTAAGCAGAATCGTGGTTAAGAAATTACCCAACTTTTTGGAACATCCTGTATGATTTTTTAAGAAATTTCAAAATATGTAAAAAAAAACAAATAAATTATGCTTGTCCAAGCATTTTCCCGAAAGACTAACCGTTTTTTAAATAACAAATATTGTAATATTTGAGGGGCGTTTTCACCCTCTTGGAATTTGAGATTCGAGAAACCCCTCCCTATCGAACCTCTACACCCTAAAGTCAATCTGTTTTCCAAAAATCAGCTTTTTACATCAAGCGCTTTAAGCAGGATCGTGATTAATCAATGACCGGATTTTTCGAACCACCCTGTATACATTTTTAAAAAATCTTAAAATATGTAAAAAAACAAAATAAAATATACGTGTTTAAGCGTTTTTTCGGAAACTTGACCGTTTTTAAATAAAAAATATTGTAATATTTGAGGGGTCGTTGGTTCCCCTTGGAACTGGAATTTCGAAAAATCCCTTCTTATCGAACCTCTACACCTTAGAATCAACCTGTATGCCAAAATTGAGCTTCTTACGTTGAGTGGTTTGAGCAGGATCGTGATCAATCAGTGAGTCAGTCACACAACAACAATTATTTATTTATTCATATCCAACTTAGTATATGAAAAAAAATAAGAAATACAAAAACACACATATAAAATATACAAAACGGCCAAATTAATAAAAAAGGTATATCATACATTTAAAAAAAAAACAAAAACGAAACGGGGGTCATGCAGAAGCGTCCCCGTCGCGACCCTGGGTACTGGCTAAAACCAGTAGCTGATTCTGCAACCACCAACTCAGTATCTATCTATCTAGCTAGGAAGTAAAATGATAGCTATTGATTATACCTTTTAAATGAACTTTGAATCATCAAAAAATATTAAATTTTAGCCGAGTAATCAAAAATCACAATGCCATTATTTGTTAATTTTGAAATATAATTAGTGTAAAAAGTTAAAAATTTGTTAACTTTTTCTACTGATTGAAAACAACTATAGTCTGTAAAACGAATAACTTTGAATTTGACAGTTCCCGCGGGCTTTTCTAGTGTTAATTTTATTAGGTTAGCAACTTGCGGCCATGCTGACGCAATGCCGTCTCTAATAGAACAGCCTAGTAACGAGATTTATGACGTCACACTCGTTAGATACTACAGATTAATAACTATGTTGTAGAATACATGAAAAACATAATTATTCCTCGATTTGTTGGTTTGTATTTTAAAAATGATATAGTTTACATGAAATATACATAATATACAGTTAATAAATACAATATATATACCTATTTATATTAATAAATACTTTGGCAGATAAACTATGAACCATACAAATGCAGCAAATGTTTTACAATATGACTGAAATCGTACTCCATAGTCAATGTAGATAGTTTTGTGTTAAGAATAATAATTTAAAAAATATGTGGTCATCTTTTGACAAGTGTATATTAGTTTATTAATTGCAGTAAACATTATAATATATAAATAAATTTTGTGAATGCAAATAATAATACATCACTATTAGTAGATATTGAATGATTTTTGTTAAATTAGATCGATTTTCGAACCCCAAAATTTAAAATATATTTTACATTTTACCCATTATCTTATGTACCACCTATTCATTATTTGTATATTGTAAAACATTTGCTGCATTTGTATGGTTCATGTTTATTAGCCAAAGTATTTATTACAATAAATAGGTATATATTATATTGTATTTATTAACTGTATATTATGTATATTTCATGTAAACTATATCATTTTTAAAATACAAACCAAAAATACGAGGAATAATTATGCTTCTTGCGTATTATCTAACTAGCGTGACGTCATAAATCTCGCTCCGTGGCTGTTCTAATAGAGACGGCATTGGTCTAATATTTAGAAATGTCAAAAGCTGATGACATTTTACTTTTGTCAATTATGACATTTCGTGTTGATTTTTGCAAGAAGAGGAAGAATTGTCACTTGTTTTATTATTTTCCTTTTTTATTTCACGAAAGTAAAAAAGAGTTACCTATCTGATTCGTTCAGGCTAGTTCAGGCACTCAATTTAAAGAATATCAGTAACTTTTTTGACAAAGGGATTTTATATATGCCATGTTGGTAAAAAATAACGGTCAAAATTCAAAGTTATTCATTTTATAGACTATACCACTAATTTAGACGTTCTGAATGCTGACATTGAAATTAGAGAAACAAACTTCTACGCTAATTGAAACCACTAATTTGAAGGTTTTGAATGAATCTTAAATATACCTTTTTCTTGGTTGTAGAATGGTACTTTCCTTGGTCCAATCCTCACAGTACCCATGATGATGTTTGCTGGTTTTGGAGTTAGTCTGAAAGACTTACCAACATACTTGTATTGGGGAAGCTACGTCTCCTATCTTCGATTTGGTTTGGAAGGAGTGGTTGGAGCTATATTCGGTTTAAACAGGCAAACGTTGGACTGTCCTGAAGAACAATATTGTCATTATAAGTAAGAAAAAATAAACAAGTTGCTTGGATATACAGTGTATCGAAAATTACGAGCTTTTTATTAAAAAAATGTTTTGTTATAAAATTTTCACATATTTATATTCTTATTTTTTTATTCTCGTACACTCTGTATATCTGCGGTGCTTTAACATAATAAGAATGAAATTCAAAAGTATTAATTTCTGTAAGAAATTCAAATTTACTTGACACTATGGCGAAGGATTTTTTACAAAACGAGAAAAAAAAACAAGATGGAAATAGTTGGCTATTTTGATTTAGTTAGAATTTCCCACTATTATCCAAGTATTGCCAACTACCGTATGATAAAAAACGGCGTCCAGTTAGCTTAGAATTGAACATCGATGACATTCCCATTTAATTTTACATATAAAATGACAGCGATCTTCATTTCATAACCATCGCTGACGCCGTTTTTTCGAGCATATGGTATTTCATTCATTGTTGGTCCCTGTGCATATAGATATAACAAAATACACATACTTACATACCTATATACAAAGTGTAACTGTATTCATACTGTATAAAAGCATACTTTAAATTAATTTGTTTTTTTTTACAGATACCCCAAGAAGTTCCTTGAAGACATCGCTGTCAAACCAGACCAATTCGGCAATGATGTCATTGCTTTGGTGCTGTTTTGGTTTATTTTGAGAATAGGAGCCTTTGTTGTGCTAAAATACAAATTACATTCATTACGTTAGTGATTTTTTTTACTTTATTAAATTACATTATGGGACAAAATTAAATATAGTGCCTAAATGACAAAAATATCGTATAAAAATAGTTGTATTTATATAAATTATTAATTTTTTAATTAAGGTTGACTTTAGTTTGTTTAAGTTGTGTTTTAAGTAAAAAAAATAGAAAAAAGGGACATTCAATGCAGTAGATTAGAAATACTAGACTTTAAAATGTATATATTAGTATTAGTTCCATAATAATGTTTTAAATATCGTGACCATATATGAAATGTGATATTATTTTTTTTGTTAATGCCATTTTTCATTGATTAATTTTCTGTTTGAGGCTGTGTTGTTGATTTTTTTTTGTTGATACAGAGGTTGTAATATAGTTTTTGTATTTACTTATGTTTATTTATTATTATAGGTAAAATAAGAATAAATCAGTTTTTTTTAAGAAAAAATAAATGGTTTTATTTTAAATTATATACTACCCTTGTTTATTATACGCAGAAATAAGTGCAAATATTTTAACTGGTAGTATAGTTCAACCCCAGAAACACGCCTATGAGGTTTTTTTTGCAAAAAAAATGTTGAAAATTTAAAATTTTTCTTGACATTTTCCGGGAAATTTGAAAAAACTTTTTAGTGCCACTTGTTTATTCACCCGAGATTTGTCTACGGTGTATCTAAACCTTGCAGTGTTGCAACCTCCTATGTTATCCACATTCTACATAGTTCTACCCTTGATTTGATTTGGTTTGGAAGGGTTCTACATTTATAAATTCATAGACAAATTTCTACTCAAAAATTAGGAATGTTAAATTTAATCTTTTATCAGTGCTCATTATTAATAATTATTATAGAAAAAAAAACACATTAATTATTTTTAGTACTTACCCTTTCAATGAAAAACCACCGAAAATTAACTAAAAGGCTAAAACATTACGTTTATAACGTTTACGAAAATGATTCGTCATATTATTCACAACCAGGTCACAAAAAAGAAATTCCTAAAATGTTTATCGTAATTTAGAATTCAATATATCGAAAACAGCCCAACGAATAATCGATTAATTTCTGTTTTGTTTGTTTTCTTTCATGTTTCTCTGTTTTATTTCAACCACTGATTTACAAAACACCTTGAAAAGCGCACATTACTTTGAATACCGTCTCTTATCGCCACTTTACGAACTACTTTCAATCTAAGAAAATACATGTTTCACTCAACAATTTTAAATACGTATTTTGTTTTTTCGCTATTTTTTCGATGTATTTCGACAGCCCAAACGTCGCGCGTCGACCAAGAGTGCCACGTGTGAACTGGTCCTTTGAGCCGCGCCGTCGTGGCGGGCTTGCGTCAGACGACGATGTTAAGCAACGTTGCCGAAGTTACAACAATTTCAAATTCAAGACATTCGAAGCAATCAAATTCGTATTAAATTTTAAAAATAAAACAGAGAAACATGAAAGGAAACAAACAAAACAAAAATGAATTGATTATTCGTCGGGCTGTTTTCGATATATTGAATTCTGAATTACGATAAACATTTTAGAAATTTCTTTTTTGTGACCTTATCGATAATCAATTTATTTGTGTTTTGTTTGTTTCCTTTCATGTTTTTTTGTTTTATTTTTAAAATTTAATAAGAATTTGATTGCTTCGAGTGTCTTGAATTTGAAATTGTTGAAACTGCGGCAACCTCGCATGACGCATGCTCGACACGCCGGCGCGACAAAGGAGCAGTGAGCAGTTACCAACCAGTGATGCGCGACTGTTGGCCGACGGTTGGGTTGTCGACGGAATTGTCGAAATACATCGAAAAAATAGAGAAAAAACAAATTACGTATTTAAAATTGTTGGGTGAAACAATTTAATGTTGGGTAAGTTTTTTAATTTAACTTTTAAACATTTAACTTTTAATTTATTTTATGTAATAATATCACAATCTTAAAAATGTAATGCATCCCTGCAAACTCCTCAAGTGTTGTGATTTTATGACTTACTTTTAAACATATACTTTCTTGTCCATATGGCAACACAGTGCGTCGAATTAACTGAAATCCGGGCTTGATCCGGGTAATTGGATGTAGTTGGCGACATCTGCCGGCGGTTCTCAAAATGTTGCGATTATTTTTTTAAATTTTCAAAGTTAAATAATTCGGTTATTTTCAATTTATTTTAAAAATGGTAAAGAGAAAATATGTTTATTTTGACCAGATCTACCACCCCTCAAAATATCTGCACTCATTTCTGGGACACCCTGTATATACAAGGATACTACTAGGTGCTACTAGTTGAAGCCTGGCGCATCCGCCACGACATCAGAAAAAAAAATACTTTTTATTTTTTGTTTAATTAAACGAATAACAAAAAATCCGGCGACCACAGTTTTTAGAAGAGCCAATTAGCTATCTTTTAGTAAAAAAAGCAACTTTCTAGAGCAAGTCGTTACTTCAGTAGAGACGACACAGATAAACATTAGCATTTTATATATCTAGATGTAGATTCCTTTATGAATATATTAAAAAAACTAGAATTAAAAAAACATGAAGCACAGAGACTCGTAAAGAAGAGTTTTAGTTTATCTACAAGGCTGTTCACCACATGCGACACGGAATATTGTAGCTAAACGATTAGATTTTTATAAATTGTAAGTTTTGGGTTCGTTGAAGGACTATTAGAGCTACAATTTAAAAATATGTTTACAAGTTACAGAGTGTCCCAAATAAATAAAAAATATCAAAGTTGTATTTTTTTAAATGGAACATCCTGTATATTATTACATTTTTAGTTTCTATGATTAAAAGAAAGGTAAATTTGATTAAGGTTTATTACACTTAAACCTTACCGTTTTGAAATATTTTCAATTTTGTGAAATTGCAGTATAAATTTTAAGGCTTCGTTTCTCCGAGGGTATGAAAGTTTTTAATACTAAAGTTTTACTGAAGTTTATTTATTGATGAGTTATTTTGTTGCAATAATAAAAACTTTACTACCATATACAGAGTGTCTAAATATTTATTTCAAATAATTATTAGCTTTAAACGGCAATAACTTGTTTAATTTAAATGGAACACCCTGTATATTTTATGAGAATCAGATGCACAATTTAATTGTCTATCAAATTGTATTATACCATTTTTTACCTATCTCTTCAAGCTTCCGTAGAAAATGCATTTTCTTGTAATTTAGAACTCATTTATCAATATACCCATGGAATACTGACAATTTAGATTATTTTTAAAGATGTACCAAATTTTTAAAGAGCACAGATACTAATATTGTCAATATAGTTCGTTTATTTCAGTAAAAAAATAAAAAAAAAACTGTTTAAATATTTGTAAGAGGACCAATTAATATGATTCCAGTATTCAAACTACATTAAATGGCTGTTTGCGTTGATTAATAATAATTGCTCCAAATACTAAAAAACTGAATTATTTATGTGTGATAGTGTGTGTGAGATAGTGCGGTAAAAAAACCTTACCCTTAAAACACCTTAAAAATGATATTGCATTTTTTGACAAATGCTTATTTATAACAACAGAGATGTTCATTTTCATAACTTATTATTATATTGATTTCTGATTCAAATCCACATTTATTTAGAATAATTTATTAACGAACACAATTAAGTATGTAATTAATTAGTATTTGGGCGGAAATACTGGTGGTATATTTAATTAACGGTATACTCTTTTATAAAGATTTAAATAGTTTTCTTTTTGCAGACAAATGGGCTAGTAATATCATCGTTTTACTAAAAACGATAATATTATTAGCCTGTACATTTTACATTTGTTGCTTTAAAAACAATCTAAAATGTCAATATTCCATGGGTATATTGATAAATGAGGTCTAAATTATAAGAAAATGCATTTTTTACGAAAACTTGAAGGGAAAGGTAAAAAGTGGTATAATACAATTTGATAGACAATTAAATTGTGCATCTGACTGTCATAAAATATACAGGGTATTCCATTTAAATTAAACAAGTTATAGCCGTTTAAAGCTAGTAATTATTTAAAATAAATTTTTAGACACTCTGTATAAGGTAGTATAATTTTTATTATTGCGACACAATAACTGATCAATAAATAAACTTCAGTAAATATTTAGTATTAAAAACTTTGATACCCTCGGAGAAATGAAGCCTTAAAATTTATACTGCAATTTTACAAAATTGAAAATATTTCAAAAACGGTAAGGTTTAAGTGTAATAAACCTTAATCAAATTTACCTTTATTTTATTCGTAGAAACTAAAAATGCAATGATATACAAGGTGTTCCATTTAAAAAAATACAACTGATATTTTTTATTTATTTGGGACACTCTGTATCTTGTAAAAATATTTTTAAATTGTAGCTCTAATAGTCCTTCAACGAACCCAAAACTTACAATTTGTAAAAATCTAATCGTTTAGCTACAATATTCCGTGTCGTATGTGGTGAACAACCCTGTAGATAAACTAAAACTCTTCTTTACGAGTCTCTGTGCTTCATGTTTTTTTAATTCTAGTTTTTTTAATATATTCATAAAGGAATCTACATCTAGATATATAAAATGCTAATGTTTATCTGTGTCGTCTCTACTGAAGTAACGACTTGCTCTAGAAAGTTGCTTTTTTACTAAAAGATAGCTAATTGGCTCTTCTAAAAACTGTGGTCGCCGGATTTTTAGTTATTCGTTTAATTAAACAAAAAATAAAAAGTATTTTTTTTTCTGATGTCGTGGCGGATGCGCCAGGCTTCAACTAGTAGCACCTAGTAGTATATAATTTAAAATAAAACCATTTATCTAATCGTTTAGCTACAATACTCCGTGTCGTATGTGGTGAACAACCCTGTATAATTTTTATTTTTCATTAAAAACTTTCATGTCCAAACCTACTTGAACATAAAGAATATACATACTTAATCAGATTTTAGAATAGCGTGTCATATTATATCATATACAAAATAATTTTTAATCATTGGCAAAAATATTTCAAGGTAAATTTTATTAAACAATTCATTAGTTTAACTTTTCAACAACAGAGGGTACAACCAATCATACGTACTACAGAAATCTAGTTGCGAACATTTTAACATTAAAATACAATAACTATAGAACTATAGATGGTGCAAGAATAAAGAAATAAAAATGAATATTAATATAGATTATTTTAAATTTCGTTGGATAAAAATTATCATAATAGAAATTGTAGTTTTAATTAAATGAAAGTATACCAGCAACAATAAGTATAAAATATTTCACGATATGATCGTAATTTGAATTTTGCAATTACCTTGTATGACCTACAAAAAGCCTAAGTATTGGCAATAGTTTCCTTATATTCTACAGAATATTAGTTTCAAACCGGACACATGCAGTTTTATTTTGTAATAGTATCAACAAATTGCC